GCATAGAGTCCACTAGTATTTAATATTAGCCTGTACTGGCTCAATAAAATGTGACCTCCAGATCAGTAAAATTAGGGGCGCTGAGACCTTTTTAAATAAATTCAATGTCTAAAACAGAATTGCATATACTGCATAGGCTCAATAAAATGTGACCTCCAGATCAGCAAAATTAGGGGCACTGGGAGACCTGCATAGAGTCCACTAGTATTTAATATTAGCCTGTACTGGCTCAATAAAATGTGACCTCCAGATCAGTAAAATTAGGGGCGCTGGGAGACCTGCATAGAGTCCACTAGTATTTAATATTAGCCTGTACTGGCTCAATAAAATGTGACCTCCAGATCAGTAAAATTAGGGGCGCTGGGAGACCTGCATAGAGTCCACTAGTATTTAATATTAGCCTGTACTGGCTCAATAAAATGTGACCTCCAGATCAGTAAAATTAGGGGCACTGGGAGACCTGCATAGAGTCCACTAGTATTTAATATTAGCCTGTACTGGCTCAATAAAATGTGACCTCCAGATCAGTAAAATTAGGGGCGCTGGGAGACCTGCATAGAGTCCACTAGTATTTAATATTAGCCTGTACTGGCTCAATAAAATGTGACCTCCAGATCAGTAAAATTAGGGGCGCTGGGAGACCTGCATAGAGTCCACTAGTATTTAATATTAGCCTGTACTGGCTCAATAAAATGTGACCTCCAGATCAGTAAAATTAGGGGCGCTGGGAGACCTGCATAGAGTCCACTAGTATTTAATATTAGCCTGTACTGGCTCAATAAAATGTGACCTCCAGATCAGTAAAATTAGGGGCACTGGGAGACCTGCATAGAGTCCACTAGTATTTAATATTAGCCTGTACTGGCTCAATAAAATGTGACCTCCAGATCAGTAAAATTAGGGGCGCTGAGAGACCTGCATAGAGTCCACTAGTATTTAATATTAGCCTGTACTGGCTCAATAAAATGTGACCTCCAGATCAGTAAAATTAGGGGCGCTGGGAGACCTGCATAGAGTCCACTAGTATTTAATATTAGCCTGTACTGGCTCAATAAAATGTGACCTCCAGATCAGTAAAATTAGGGGCGCTGGGAGACCTGCATAGAGTCCACTAGTATTTAATATTAGCCTGTACTGGCTCAATAAAATGTGACCTCCAGATCAGTAAAATTAGGGGCACTGGGAGACCTGCATAGAGTCCACTAGTATTTAATATTAGCCTGTACTGGCTCAATAAAATGTGACCTCCAGATCAGTAAAATTAGGGGCGCTGAGACCTTTTTTAAATAAATTCAATGTCTAAAACAGAATTGCATATACTGCATAGGCTCAATAAAATGTGACCTCCAGATCAGCAAAATTAGGGGCACTGGGAGACCTGCATAGAGTCCACTAGTATTTAATATTAGCCTGTACTGGCTCAATAAAATGTGACCTCCAGATCAGTAAAATTAGGGGCGCTGGGAGACCTGCATAGAGTCCACTAGTATTTAATATTAGCCTGTACTGGCTCAATAAAATGTGACCTCCAGATCAGTAAAATTAGGGGCGCTGGGAGACCTGCATAGAGTCCACTAGTATTTAATATTAGCCTGTACTGGCTCAATAAAATGTGACCTCCAGATCAGTAAAATTAGGGGCACTGGGAGACCTGCATAGAGTCCACTAGTATTTAATATTAGCCTGTACTGGCTCAATAAAATGTGACCTCCAGATCAGTAAAATTAGGGGCGCTGGGAGACCTGCATAGAGTCCACTAGTATTTAATATTAGCCTGTACTGGCTCAATAAAATGTGACCTCCAGATCAGTAAAATTAGGGGCGCTGGGAGACCTGCATAGAGTCCACTAGTATTTAATATTAGCCTGTACTGGCTCAATAAAATGTGACCTCCAGATCAGTAAAATTAGGGGCGCTGGGAGACCTGCATAGAGTCCACTAGTATTTAATATTAGCCTGTACTGGCTCAATAAAATGTGACCTCCAGATCAGTAAAATTAGGGGCACTGGGAGACCTGCATAGAGTCCACTAGTATTTAATATTAGCCTGTACTGGCTCAATAAAATGTGACCTCCAGATCAGTAAAATTAGGGGCGCTGAGAGACCTGCATAGAGTCCACTAGTATTTAATATTAGCCTGTACTGGCTCAATAAAATGTGACCTCCAGATCAGTAAAATTAGGGGCGCTGGGAGACCTGCATAGAGTCCACTAGTATTTAATATTAGCCTGTACTGGCTCAATAAAATGTGACCTCCAGATCAGTAAAATTAGGGGCGCTGGGAGACCTGCATAGAGTCCACTAGTATTTAATATTAGCCTGTACTGGCTCAATAAAATGTGACCTCCAGATCAGTAAAATTAGGGGCACTGGGAGACCTGCATAGAGTCCACTAGTATTTAATATTAGCCTGTACTGGCTCAATAAAATGTGACCTCCAGATCAGTAAAATTAGGGGCGCTGAGACCTTTTTTAAATAAATTCAATGTCTAAAACAGAATTGCATATACTGCATAGGCTCAATAAAATGTGACCTCCAGATCAGCAAAATTAGGGGCACTGGGAGACCTGCATAGAGTCCACTAGTATTTAATATTAGCCTGTACTGGCTCAATAAAATGTGACCTCCAGATCAGTAAAATTAGGGGCGCTGGGAGACCTGCATAGAGTCCACTAGTATTTAATATTAGCCTGTACTGGCTCAATAAAATGTGACCTCCAGATCAGTAAAATTAGGGGCGCTGGGAGACCTGCATAGAGTCCACTAGTATTTAATATTAGCCTGTACTGGCTCAATAAAATGTGACCTCCAGATCAGTAAAATTAGGGGCGCTGGGAGACCTGCATAGAGTCCACTAGTATTTAATATTAGCCTGTACTGGCTCAATAAAATGTGACCTCCAGATCAGTAAAATTAGGGGCGCTGGGAGACCTGCATAGAGTCCACTAGTATTTAATATTAGCCTGTACTGGCTCAATAAAATGTGACCTCCAGATCAGTAAAATTAGGGGCACTGGGAGACCTGCATAGAGTCCACTAGTATTTAATATTAGCCTGTACTGGCTCAATAAAATGTGACCTCCAGATCAGTAAAATTAGGGGCGCTGAGAGACCTGCATAGAGTCCACTAGTATTTAATATTAGCCTGTACTGGCTCAATAAAATGTGACCTCCAGATCAGTAAAATTAGGGGCGCTGGGAGACCTGCATAGAGTCCACTAGTATTTAATATTAGCCTGTACTGGCTCAATAAAATGTGACCTCCAGATCAGTAAAATTAGGGGCGCTGGGAGACCTGCATAGAGTCCACTAGTATTTAATATTAGCCCCCGCCGCGCACGAGTGCGCGGTTCCCCCTGTATCGTCAGGACGATAAAGGAGTCTTGCATCAAATATATAACGTTAATCGCAACCACATATCGCAACGTATGCATTTAGTACTATAACTATACTATGAACCGATACGAGCTAGCTGTGAGTTAATTGACGATGTCAATTCATCTCAGCTCGGCGCGGCACACTAGTAACGCATCGCGCTACAAGCTGTGAGGGATTGAAAACATTTAATTATTGTTAAATTATCTGTATTTTAAATATTTATACTTGATACTATTTTCACAATTACTTTAAAACAAAAACTGACTCGAATCCTAAAGCATGAACAGCTGAAATATCGTTTTACAAGCACGCGCTATTTGGAGCAGTTAGCAGCAGTGGGCAGCAGTTAGCGGCAGTGAGCAGCCGTTTTCAAAAGTTGCGCGCGTCGTGTTGCTCTAACCAGAGCCCTCTTGCTTGCAGTATAAGCGCGTGAAACAAGCGCGTCACGCAGTATGTTTAGACACATGGCTATACATGTACTATGTGAACGCGTCGTGCGCTACGCAGTACACAGTAAAACATGCATAAAACTGCTGCTAACTAACTGCAGCAGTGAGCAACAGTTGGCAGCCTAGCAGTTAGTTGTCATACGTTGTATGACCCGCCGCGCACGAGTGCGTTGCTCCCCCTGTATCCTCAGGACGATACAGTGAAACGACCGTGGGGGTCACGACGTGATACAAAAATTTATTGTGTTCATCATCTCTGGAAAGTGTGTGATGAGGTGATAAGTAGAATTGAAGGAAATAATTATTTAGAAAATAAAGTAAACATAATGATTAATGATTATTTGTGGTTTCTTCCCTATCTAGCAAAGAAGACGTTTATTAACCTGAACTAAACCGTTTGGGTGTAATTTAAATTTTAAAGATATTTTTATGAATATTTGTGATGATCTTATGTATCATTGTGTTATGATTTGAATTGATTTGTTAACAGTACACTACAATGTAGATGTTTAGAAGGGGACTTTGTATTTTTTTGTAGATACCATCTTCTTTAAAGCCTTAATCATGATACCGGTCATTCGGCTGAATCGACCAAGGAGACATTATGTTACGAAGATGTGCCATTTTTCTTCGCTCCCTATGGCAGGCTAGGTGACACTGGGAGTCGATTAATTTGTTCATTGTATATTTTTGAAATGTCTTGCAAGTGTTGTATGTCGACTGCATAGTATAGTCCATGAAACCATGTTTGGTCGCCCATTTAATCTCATTTCATCTTGCGAATCATATGACTGTTGACATTATTCTTGAATCGGTGTTACACTGACATAGCTTGGACATTTCGGGCAGCACTTGATACTTCTTTTGGGGACATATATGAACATAGTCTTGAAGTTGCAAATAATATTAATAGCAATGGACCATTTCCGTTAGCTGTGCATTGTACTCAGCTAATTGGAACTTGATTTGATTAAATGTATCATTTTATAAATTGTAACTTTAAACTTCAAGCTATTGTAGATACCTTATTCATCACTTTAAACTTATGTTTGTTTCCATAATTTAGGAGATACACCATGGCATGTTACATGTAGTTAATCCATTGGAAAGTGCCCTTGCTCAAAGTATGAAATGGATCTCCATCTGATAGCTGTTTCCGCTGCCTCAATTTTGGGATCTCTCATCGTTCTTGCTATCTTCATAAGCTCAGGTAACAGAATGATTTGTTTATCAAAAGGTGAGCCCTATATTTAAATAATTTGCGGATAGCTGACACAGTTTGTACTTCGTTTGTACTTCCCTATCAATAATTTGTATAAACCATTTTTCAGCGTGGTTTGTCCTATGGAAGCTGCTTCTATCAAAAATGCCTGTTTTTAGGGCCATGTTTGGTTTGGACAGAGAAGAAACTGTAGCTGATCAGGCAGCTGTTCCACCTATAACAGGGAAAGCAAGGAACAGAAAAGTTGATTAACATGTTTTAAATATAAAGTGCTTCCTTATTATATTGCAATCATTGAGTGTACTGGCGGTTTTTTCACTATTTTTACTTGGCATAGATCTGCGCTGGTTGTAAGAAAATGTGCTTGAAAATGTTAGATTTCGTAAAAGTGTTATTAATTCATCATAACAGGCATAAATTACCAACATTAAAATTTGTTTTTCAGATAATGACATACAGTTAATCATACTTCATTAATTTGATAAGAGTATAATAATAAGAAATTTAAGAAACATTTTTAAAGAGATAACTATATACATTGAAAGATCTGCTGTTGTTGTTTTTATATTCTTGCAGGACCATTCTCGTTATTAAGATATTAATAATCATTAAATAAATTTGAATTTTTATCTTTTATGAGTAGCTGAAATAAGGGGCAAGAGCAAAGCTTTTCAATTATTCAAATTATTATAATTTTTATAAATTTGTTTAAACGATTTCCAAAAGCAAATATGATAGAAACTTTTGCTTGACTACACAGTTTGGGAATGCAAAAAAGTTACTGCAAAGTATTTTTTGTTGAATAGAGACTACTTCTAGTGGGGACGTGACATAAATATCAACTTGCAGACTTTATACCAAGTCCCTATCAGTTTTCTTGGCAACTAAGTGTTTTTAATATAATGATCTTAGTGTGTTTTAATTTATGTTCAGAATTTGATGTTAACAATTTATTTTCAGTGTCTGCAATTGACTATCTGATTTCTGATTTCATAAACTGACATTAAACTACAAAAGAGTTTCTTAACCGAAACTACTTTTATCTGCAGCGCATGATTATAATTTAAGCTAAAGCTTTAATAAAAAACTTGATGCAAACAGTATTTCATTGTTAACATTGCCATTGTACTGCTTAGAAAAGATTTATTTTCATGAAGTGAAGGGCGGTCGAACTATTCGATGACCCTGTAGAGGAATCTACGAACTTTACAAATTATACAAATTATTATTAAGTTAAACCATTTCCTCTGTATATATAATAGTTTATAGGGATGTATTCAGCTAATAGTGGCAGACGTCATGAGAGAAGGTTCGACACAAACAGACCTGAATTATATGAGGTTGGTGCATTTTCAATTAGTAACACCAGTCATTATTTAACCAAAGACTGCTATTTTAGTATGTTGTGCATTTGTTGCTTTTAAATTAGATTATTCCGAAATTTTCGGAGTATTTAAAAACTCTGTTTTTTAAAGAGATGACACCAAAATTCATAAAAATTGTGTCTGCACTCAACCCCAAGTAACTTATTGTAAGCTAATCTTGTCTGCTACTCAGCATGTAATATATTAAACTTGCCAGGAGGTGAAGTTGTTCCGAAATGCTCGTGAAAGGGAAAAGTATGACAACATGGCTGACTTGTTTGCGCTCATCCAAACACTACAGTGCCTGGAAAAAGCTTACATTAAAGATGCTCTTACAGCTAAAGAATACACTGAGGCGTGCTCCAAACTTTTAGCACAAGTCAGCGTGAGTAGGCAAGCTTCATTTGTTGAGGCTAGGTGGGGGGGGGGGGGGGGGGGCTGGGATACTTTCCTAATTTATATATCTGACATTCTGTAGTACATGAACTGAACTGTTGTAACATGGACTGTAAAATTATCTGTGTCAGTAGTGAATTATCTAATTAATTTAGTGTAACATATTTTGTCGTAGGCAGCATTCAACCTGGTTAAATCGAGTGCCTACCCAGACATACCAACATTTATGAAGGAGTATTACCTGGACTGTCCTGCAGCCTTACAGCGAATTGAGGAGGGCAAGCCAATCACTATACAGGATAACCAAGGTAAATACAAAACTTAATTCTAAATAATGTAAAAATATAATAAAGTAATGTCCTGTTTTTTAGCACAGCTGTCCAAAAACTACCAAACATTTAATCATCCAAATCATTTCAGGAAATATCAGCAAGAGTATAGCTGATGTGATATCTTTGTACATCACTCTGTGTGACAAACTTCAAATGGATATGAGAGCTAAGGATGAGCTGTACACCGATTTGAAATGCTTGGCAGATGTTCTAGACCGGATGAGTAACCTACCGTCCGACTTTGATGGCACGAAGAAAGTATATTTCTGGTAAGTTCTTTATGTTATTTCTGTGTCCAAGTATTTAGTATTACTCGATTTTTTCCTTTTTGACTATCGCATATTGCAAAATACACAGTACATCAACTACGAGAAGGAAAAATATACAACTAAAGCCTCAGGCCCAAGGAAATGTAACACTTTAATAATAATTGTTCAACATAAAATCAGGTTCACATTAAAACTCCGCCCAATTCCAGTCATAATCCTAAGAGAGTAAGAGCTTAATATATTAAATTATTTTCTTAAGGTAGCTCATTTAACAAGTTGAATTTAACAAGTTGAATTTGCTCAGGGTTGGGGAACTGGGACAGTTGTATTTAACAAGTTGAATTGGTCAGGGTTGGGGAACTGGACAAGTTGTATTAACAAGTTGAATTAGGTCAGGGTTGGGGAACTGGACAAGTTGTATTTAACAAGTTGAATTTGGTCAGGGTTGGGGAACTGGACCAAGTTGTCTGCACAGATACCGCTAGATGAAGAGCAGGTCAGACAGATGGTATTCGACCTGGAGTCCAGCAGGGAAGCATTCGTCCGAACACTTGGATAGGAACTGGGCTGCAACTTGCTGAAACTTACAGAAATTAGAATTATTCTTTGTTTCATATGAACATAACTTCATAGTTGATCGCTTGGAAATTCGATGAATTATTTTATTGATGCTTCCCTTATATGATAAAATTTCGATTAGACTCTGTGAAGATTACCAGAGAAAGTTTGATATTGATCCTGAATCAAAGTTAATCGCAGTGTTCGAACTTTAATCATTTATTTTGTCGTTCAGAGCCTTACAGAATTACAAAATATCAGGTCCTTTTTGTACACTGATCAGACCTTGCATAATTAATTTTTTAGATCTGAAATTGAAGCTACGTTTTTAGGATACTGGGTATTAGGTTTGCAATATGTTAGCATTTCAAATACCTAACACTGATTTTAAAGGTGTATTTTAAATGGGCACTTTTTGATAAAATGAGAAATGTAATTTTACCAAATGTTGAACTCGATAACAATTGTACAATTTGTTCAATATTGTGTATTTTGTAAATATTTATGTTCTGATTTTATTATCACGTTTACTTTACATGAAACCAATAATATATTCATCAGTTCCGTTAGATAAATTTATTTACTCTTCATGCTGTTCTACAATATTAGAATGAAATATGAAGATAACAGAATTTATATTACAAATTATTTCACAACATCTTGAGTCCAAGACTCAAGTATGGTTACATGTTTCCTAGACTGGAATATAAATGTTTCCATCGATGTTTGCTTTGTATCATACACCAACAACTACAAACGCACATTCCCTTGACCCAATTATCTTAAAGGAATGTCAAAGGAAACTCTGAAGATCCTGGTGGCTGGAAGTGTGCAAGGAAACTTCAAACAGCTCTGTTCACGTGTAAACACTGTCAACTCAAAAAGTGGGCCCATTTCACCTTCTCCTCATCCCTGGTCATGTGATCGGAGATAACGCTGAGTCCTGGCTCAGTCTCAGAGATGGCACTTACAAGCTGGATGTTCCCACTTATATTTTAGGTGCTACAAAAGAGTCACATACCGCTTATTTCTCGCATATTGGTAGACGGGGAGGTTACAGAAAATGTGACTTATTTAGGACGGAGAGGTGTGTACACAACCACCTAACGGATTATCTATAGCTTATATCAGTGGTGTGTTCGGAGATGGCATGTCAAATGAGCCTCACTGTTACACTGAAACAGATCTGAACATTCTACAGGCTCAGTCAGGTGTTATGAATGGTATTGATATTCTCATCACTAGTCAGTGGCCCTCTGATGTCCTGAGGTACGTTAAAAAACCAGATTTTAAAGTACCCGAGGGTATTCCTGAGTTGTCACATCTTGTCAACACCATAAAACCTCGGTATCACTTCGTATCAGGCCCGTACTATGAGCGACTCCCCTACCGCAACCACAAGATCCTGCACGAGAAAGCAACGTATTGTACTCGTTTCCTTTCCTTAGACTGTGCAGGAAATAAAAACTAAGAGTAGTGGTTGTATGCTTTAAATTACGTTCCCATGAAACACCTTACTGATGCGGAACTGAGAAAACAACCTGCAGAAACCACAGAAAACCCTTACATTGAGGTTGAAAAGAGCAAAACAAAGTAGAGATTTGAAGCCGCAGCACTTTTACAGCACGGGGTGACAAGCGCAAGATGACCTGCTGCACCCGGTGGTGCTGACAGCACGGAGAAGAAGAAAGAGATGTTGCTGTTCTGTTTTGAAATCACCAAATGTTGAGCAACATTTAGTCCTATCTGTTGGTGCTTCGCATGTATTTAGCGCTTGCAAAAGGCGCATTAAGCAACGACCCCGTAATGATTGTCCCGACCACCACATTAAAGTTCGCAATTCTTGGAACCAAACCAGCAAGAAGACGTAGAAAAAGTTCAAACGAGCTTTAAGAACCCTGAACAGAACCAAACAAGAAATCAACCGACAGTGTTCTTTGAGCGCAGTCTGTCCACGTCACACATGCAGATACAGGCTGTACCTGTATCCCGGTACTCGGTCAACGACATTAAGGACGTGTTCTATACCTTTGCTGATAAGTATAACCTAGAGGTACAGGAAATACCGGTTGGTGAGGATTGGAAGGAATGGTACCTCCTGGAAGTGATTACTTCATTGCTGAGTTTGAAAACCGGATAAACCTGTGTTTTTGTGTTCTCAGAAAGTCCGGTTCCTCTTCAGTTCGGCAGGAAGTGTTGGCATCTGAGGAACTGCTCAATATGCCCAGGGAGAGTTAGCTGGAAGGAATGTAAAATATCTAAGAGCAAGAGGAACATTAGTTAAGCAGTACAGAAAATCTTTTACCGAGTTTGATCCTTTCAAAGTTGATGATTCAGATAGTGATTCAGATTGATAAATTGGTAACAAATGTTGATTTCTTATATTATTATAATTATCATTTTGTGATATAATGCATAATGCATAGCATATTGACGAAGCGTTTTCTATTTCAGTTGACACACTTTTTAGTATCTATTGTTGTAATGGATAAATTGGTCTTAATTTTGCGTATTTTATTGTTTTATCATCGATTTTCAGAAAAGTAAAATAATCAGAAAAACAATCATGAGATGAATTCAGCGCGTGTAAATTGTCTTGTTACTTTGAGTTTTAATTCAGTTTACTTACTAACCCTCTCCTAGTAGGATGACTCTGATATCTCAGTGTACCCGCTTGTTGGCTCAAACGTCCTCTCGCAATTTTGCACAAACCTCGGTTCGTGTATACTGTGTATACCAGTGTATACAGTGCAGAGTATACTGTAGTGTATACAGTGTACTCTGATATTAAGTCAACTTGGCATGCAAATCATTCTAGCAATCTTTGCTTTATCTTTTTAAAAGATTTCAGTCAGCGTAAATACCACTAACTTGCTAACCAGGTCTATTTTCAGAGAGCATTCCTTCCTAGTTTTTCTGGTTGGAGACAAGGCGGCCAATCAGGTGGTTCTGGTCCCAAATTCAACTATGTGAGTTTAGCATGGTATTTAAGTCATCGTAGCTAACGGTTATCCAAAACTCTGAAAATTATTCGTTCCTGTCGACGGAAAATTTAATCAAACATGAAGCATTCAGCATTTCGATTTACTAGATATGTTTTGCGACAAGTTTTTTCAATCTATGTTATTTATATTCCACGAGTCTATGAATTTCTTAAATTTTTAACGAGTTTTCTCTCCGAAAAATAGACCTATGTCTAGAAGGTCGGAAATTTTCACTCTACGTCATGGAAAACGCACAGTTTGTAAGTTGTAGCGAGAGTGAAATTTTAGCATCACGTTACGCGCGTATTTGACGCGCGGTAATGAGACTCTACTCGATCATGGTTACGTGACATGACAGGTGCCTTCTTCATAAAAATCAATACGACTTCTGAGTTCCTAGTTTATCTTTACCCCTTCATAGGAAATATGTCCGCTGTTGTTTTTAAAAAAGGATTAAAAACAGACTAATAATATGAGTAGCTCCTTCATGGTAAAGTTCCAGCTATCTCACATCCGGAACAAATTTGTCGACATTCCAGCTGTTGCTTTCCTCATCTCCCAGTCCCAAAAACTTGTTGGTTTATACATTCATCCTACTTCAAACTAACGTGCTGCCGCTATCTGATTGACCGTCCTCTTCGCGCCCACTGATAACGTTCCAACATTTCAGAGTTATGGATTTGCTAGGTTGCTGGGAGCTGCTGTGTGCAGTGTTGGAGTTGCCACTGATAACCATCTACATTCAGAAGTTATGGATTTGTGGGTTGCTGGAAGCAGCAGTGTGCAGTGTTGGCAGTAGATAACATTGCAACATTTCAGAGTTATGGATTTGTTGGGTTGCTGGGAGCAGCTGTGTGCAGTGGATGGAGTTGCACTGAAACCATTCTAACATTTCAGAGTTCTGGATTTGTTGGGTTGCTGGGAGCTGCTGTGTGCAGTGTTGGAGTTGCTCTGAACTGATAACATTCCAACATTTCAGAGTATGGATTTGTTGGGTTGCTGGGAGAGTCTGTGTGCAGTGTTGGAGTTGCTCTGATAACGTTCCAACATTTCAGAGTTAGGATTTGTAGGGTTGCTGGAGCTGCTGTGTGCAGTGTTTGGAGTTGCACTTGATAACATTCTAACATTTCAGAGTTATGGATTTGTAGGGTTGCTGGGAGCTGCTGTGTGCAGTGTTGGAGTTGCCCTGATAACATTCTAACATTTCAGAGTTATGGATTTGTTGGGATTGCTGGGAGCTGCTTAGTGTGCAGTGTTGAGTGTGCTCTGATAACATTCTAACATTTCAGAGTTATGGATTTGTTGGGTTGCTGGGAGCTGCTGTGTGCAGTGTTGGGGTTGCACTGATAACATTCCCACATTTCAGAGTTATGGATTTGTAGGTTTGCTGGAGCTGCTGTTGCAGTGTTGGAGTTGCACTGATAACATTCTAACATTTCAGAGTTAGGATTTGTTGGGTTGCTGGGAGCTGCTGTGTGCAGTGTTGGAGTTCGCGCCACTGATAACGTTCTAACATTTCAGAGTTATGGATTTGTAGGGTTGCTGGGAGCAGCTGTGTGCAGTGTTGGAGTTGCTCTGATAACGTTCCACATTTCAGAGTTATGGATTTGTTGGGTTGCTGGGAGCTGCTGTGTGCAGTGTTGGAGTTGCTCTGATACCATTCTAACATTTCAGAGTTATGGATTTGTTGGGTTGCTGGGAGCTGCTGTGTGCAGTGTTGGAGTTGCTCTGATAACGTTCCCAACATTTCAGAGTTATGGATTTGTTGGGTTGCTGGGAGCTGCTGTGTGCAGTGTTGGAGTTGCTCTGATAACATTCTAACATTTCAGAGTTATGGATTTGTTGGGTTGCTGGGAGCTGCTGTGTGCAGTGTTGGAGTTGCTCTGATAACGTTTCCAACATTCAGGGTTTTGGGTTTGTTGGGTTCGGGTGCGTGTGCAGGTTTTGGGGTTGCTCTGATAACATTCAACATTTCGGTTAGGGGTTTGGGGGTTGCTGGGGCTGGTTTGGGGTGTTGGGGTTGCTTGATACGTTCCCCCATTCGGTTAGGATTTGTTTGGGTTGCTGGAGCGCGTGTGCAGTGGATTGCTCTGATCCAAAATTTTAACATTTCAGGTTTGGATTTTTTGGGGGGTGGGGGCGCTGTGTTTCCCGTGTTGGAGTTGCCTATAACATTCTAACATTTTAAATTATGGATTTGTTGGGTTGCGGGGCTGCTGTGTGCCCGGTTGGGTTGCCTGAAAAAATTCTACTTTTTAGGTTATGGATTTGTTGGTTTTCTGGGGGCTCTGTGTGCAGTGTTGGATTTCTAAAAGTTTCCCAAAATTTTAAGTTTTGGATTTGTTGGGGGTTTTGGGGCTGCTGTGGCAGTGTTTTGGGTTGCCGCAAAAAATTCTAACATTTCAGAGTTATGGATTTGTTGGGTTGCTGGGAGCTGCTGTGTGCAGTGTTGGAGTTGCTCTGATAACATTCTAACATTTCAGAGTTATGGATTTGTTGGGTTGCTGGGAGCTGCTGTGTGCAGTGTTGGAGTTTGCTCTGATAACATTCTAACATTTCAGAGTTATGGATTTGTTGGGTTGCTGGGAGCTGCTGTGTGCAGTGTTGGAGTTGCTCTGATAACATTCCCAACATTTCAGAGTTATGGATTTGTTGGGTTGCTGGGGGCTGCTGTGTGCAGTGTTGGAGTTGATAACATTGCAACATTTCAGAGTTATGGATTGTTGGGTTGCTGGGAGCTGCATGTGTGCAGTGTTGGAGTTGCTCTTCGCGCCACTGATAAACATCTCTAACATTTCAGAGTTATGGATTTGTTGGGTTGCTGGGAGCTGCTGTGTGCAGTGTTGGAGTTGCGCCACTGCTAACGTTCCAACATTTCAGAGTTATGGATTTGTTGGGTTGCTGGGGGCTGCTGTGTGCAGTGTTGGAGTTGATAACATTGCAACATTTCAGAGTTATGGATTTGTTGGGTTGCTGGGAGCTGCTGTGTGCAGTGTTGGAGTTGCACTGATAACATTCTAACATTTCAGAGTTATGGATTTGTTGGGTTGCTGGGGGCTGCTGTGTGCAGTGTTGGAGTTGCTCTGATAACGTTCCGACATTTCAGAGTTATGGATTTGTTGGGTTGCTGGGAGCTGCTGTGTGCAGTGTTGGAGTTGATAACATTCTAACATTTCAGAGTTATGGATTTGTTGGGTTGCTGGGGGCTGCTGTGTGCAGTGTTGGAGTTGCTCTGATAACATTCTAACATTTCAGAGTTATGGATTTGTTGGGTTGCTGGGAGCTGCTGTGTGCAGTGTTGGAGTTGCTCTGATAACGTTCCAACATTTCAGAGTTATGGATTTGTAGGGTTGCTGGGAGCTGCTGTGTGCAGTGTTGGAGTTGCACTGATAACATTCTAACATTTCAGAGTTATGGATTTGTTGGGTTGCTGGGGGCTGCTGTGTGCAGTGTTGGAGTTGCTCTGATAACATTCTAACATTTCAGAGTTATGGATTTGTTGGGTTGCTGGGAGCTGCTGTGTGCAGTGTTGGAGTTGCTCTGATAACGTTCCAACATTTCAGAGTTATGGATTTGTTGGGTTGCTGGGAGCTGCTGTGTGCAGTGTTGGAGTTGCTCTGATAACGTTCCAACATTTCAGAGTTATGGATTTGTTGGGTTGCTGGGGGCTGCTGTGTGCAGTGTTGGAGTTGCTCTGATAACATTCTAACATTTCAGAGTTATGGATTTGTTGGGTTGCTGGGGAGCTGCTGTGTGCAGTGTTGGAGTTGCTCTGATAACGTTCCAACATTTCAGAGTTATGGATTTGTTGGGTTGCTGGGAGCTGCTGTGTGCAGTGTTGGAGTTGCTCTGATAACATTCTAACATTTCAGAGTTATGGATTTGTTGGGTTGCTGGGAGCTGCTGTGTGCAGTGTTGGAGTTGCTCTGATAACATTCTAACATTTCAGAGTTATGGATTTGTTGGGTTGCTGGGAGCTGCTGTGTGCAGTGTTGGAGTTGCTAACGTTCCAACATTTCAGAGTTATGGATTTGTTGGGTTGCTGGGAGCTGCTGTGTGCAGTGTTGGAGTTGCTCTGATAACATTCTAACATTTCAGAGTTATGGATTTGTTGGGTTGCTGGGAGCTGCTGTGTGCAGTGTTGGAGTTGCTCTGATAACATTCTAACATTTCAGAGTTATGGATTTGTTGGGTTGCTGGGAGCTGCTGTGTGCAGTGTTGGAGTTGCTCTGATAACATTCTAACATTTCAGAGTTATGGATTTGTTGGGTTGCTGGGAGCTGCTGTGTGCAGTGTTGGAGTTGCACTGATAACATTCTAACATTTCAGAGTTATGGATTTGTTGGGTTGCTGGGAGCTGCTGTGTGCAGTGTTGGAGTTGCTCTGATAACATTCTAACATTTCAGAGTTATGGATTTGTTGGGTTGCTGGGAGCTGCTGTGTGCAGTGTTGGAGTTGCTCTGATAACATTCTAACATTTCAGAGTTATGGATTTGTTGGGTTGCTGGGAGCTGCTGTGTGCAGTGTTGGAGTTGCTCTGATAACATTCCAACATTTCAGAGTTATGGATTTGTTGGGTTGCTGGGAGCTGCTGTGTGCAGTGTTGGAGTTGCACTGATAACATTCTAACATTTCAGAGTTATGGATTTGTTGGGTTGCTGGGAGCTGCTGTGTGCAGTGTTGGAGTTGCACTGATAACATTCTAACATTTCAGAGTTATGGATTTGTTGGGTTGCTGGGAGCTGCTGTGTGCAGTGTTGGAGTTGCTCTGATAACATTCCAACATTTCAGAGTTATGGATTTGTTGGGTTGCTGGGAGCTGCTGTGTGCAGTGTTGGAGTTGCACTGATAACATTCTAACATTTCAGAGTTATGGATTTGTTGGGTTGCTGGGAGCAGCTGTGTGCAGTGTTGGAGTTGCTCTGATAACATTCTAACATTTCAGAGTTATGGATTTGTTGGGTTGCTGGGGGCTGCTGTGTGCAGTGTTGGAGTTGCTAACGTTCCAACATTTCAGAGTTATGGATTTGTTGGGTTGCTGGGAGCTGCTGTGTGCAGTGTTGGAGTTGCTCTGATAACATTCTAACATTTCAGAGTTATGGATTTGTTGGGTTGCTGGGAGCTGCTGTGTGCAGTGTTGGAGTTGCTCTGATAACATTCTAACATTTCAGAGTTATGGATTTGTTGGGTTGCTGGGAGCTGCTGTGTGCAGTGTTGGAGTTGCTCTGATAACATTCCAACATTTCAGAGTTATGGATTTGTTGGGTTGCTGGGAGCTGCTGTGTGCAGTGTTGGAGTTGCACTGATAACATTCTAACATTTCAGAGTTATGGATTTGTTGGGTTGCTGGGAGCAGCTGTGTGCAGTGTTGGAGTTGCACTGATAACATTCTAACATTTCAGAGTTATGGATTTGTTGGGTTGCTGGGAGCAGCTGTGTGCAGTGTTGGAGTTGCACTGATAACATTCTAACATTTCAGAGTTATGGATTTGTAGGGTTGCTGGGAGCTGCTGTGTGCAGTGTTGGAGTTGCTCTGATAACATTCTAACATTTCAGAGTTATGGATTTGTTGGGTTGCTGGGAGCTGCTGTGTGCAGTGTTGGAGTTGCTCTGATAACATTCTAACATTTCAGAGTTATGGATTTGTTGGGTTGCTGGGAGCTGCTGTGTGCAGTGTTGGAGTTGCTCTGATAACGTTCCAACATTTCAGAGTTATGGATTTGTTGGGTTGCTGGGAGCTGCTGTGTGCAGTGTTGGAGTTGCTCTGATAACATTCTAACATTTCAGAGTTATGGATTTGTTGGGTTGCTGGGAGCTGCTGTGTGCAGTGTTGGAGTTGCACTGATAACATTCTACATTTCAGAGTTATGGATTTGTTGGGTTGCTGGGAGCTGCTGTGTGCAGTGTTGGAGTTGCACTGATAACATTCTAACATTTCAGAGTTATGGATTTGTTGGGTTGCTGGGAGCTGCTGTGTGCAGTGTTGGAGTTGCTCTGATAACATTCTAACATTTCAGAGTTATGGATTTGTTGGGTTGCTGGGAGCTGCTGTGTGCAGTGTTGGAGTTGCTCTGATAACGTTCCAACATTTCAGAGTTATGGATTTGTTGGGTTGCTGGGAGCTGCTGTGTGCAGTGTTGGAGTTGCTCTGATAACATTCTAACATTTCAGAGTTATGGATTTGTTGGGTTGCTGGGAGCTGCTGTGTGCAGTGTTGGAGTTGCTGATAACATTCAACATTTCAGAGTTATGGATTTGTTGGGTTGCTGGGAGCTGCTGTGTGCAGTGTTGGAGTTGCTCTGATAACATTCTAACATTTCAGAGTTATGGATTTGTTGGGTTGCTGGGAGCTGCTGTGTGCAGTGTTGGAGTTGCTCTGAACGACGGTCAGATTAGTGCTGATGAGTTGGAGCTTGCTCACGGGCACATGCACTGGGAGCACAAGGAGTGGAACAAGTCGTATGACCACAAAGCGTGAGTTCGTACTCTTTTTCTGAATTTCCGTAGATTTATTCTGAGAATTTAAGATTTTCCAAACCAGTTATAATTTTAATCTTTAAGATGCATATAATCTCAGTATTGCATTTTAATGATAAAATCCAACAGATTACGGCGTGGTTTCCAAGTTTACAAGGAGGTTTGTCAGGCATGTCACAGTATGCAATACTTCTACTGGAGAATGCACATTGATGTGACTCACACGAAGGAGGAAGTTAAAGAGATGGCAGCTGAGGTACTTTTGTTACGTATTACGTATTTATTATTAAATAATATGATAAACTGTAAAGTGTAAATTGTTCCAAAGCACAACACTTAATAGTGCTGACTTTTTATTCGGGTACGCTTTCATTTTCGGTGAAAAATTTTACAACTTACAATATCCTCCTAACATTGAGACTACGTTGTTTTTTATTTTAAGTAAATTAAATTCTCAGTACATGTATCCGGATGTGGACGATGAAGGTAACGCAATTGAACGACAAGGTGACATCCAGGACTTCATGCCGGCACCCTACGATAACGAGATTAAGGCCCGTCTCGCTAACAATGGCGCCCATCCACCTGACCTGACCTTGATTAATGTTGCTCGGGAAGGAAACGAGGATTACTTGTTTAGTCTGTTGACCGGATACGAAGATGTGCCTCCTGGTCAGGCTGAGCCAGCAGAGGGACAGGCTTATAACCCTTACTTCCACGGATACTATATCGGCATGGCGCAGCAGCTTTACAACGAATCTGTCGACTATGAGGATGGTAAGAAGGATTTCTTATATGTAGCTTTGTTTTGACTGTGGAATTTAATTACTCATCAAACTCGTTGCTGCCTCGTACTGGAAAAAAGAAACGTGAATTATCAAATATGGAGTTTATACATCAGAATAGCTTTTACGATCCTCTGACTCACTTTATTTCCAGGCACTATCCCGTACCAGTCTCAAATCGCAAAGGATATTATCCAGTATCTGGCCTGGACCGCTCATCCTTGGATGGACGAAATGTCTATGTATGGAATGAAGGTTTGTTTATTTAGAGTTAAAATGTAAATAATATTCCTTTTACATTTTGGTATCGCTAGTGACTGTTAAAGGGCAAATCATGCACTTTTAAGGCATACCTCTTTTACACTTAAAGCCTAAAACTGGAACCAACTTTAAATTACTTTTCCTGCTCAACCCTTACTCTTTACAAAGTAAAACTCAGTTTATCTGTAACTTGGAAAATAGATTAAGTGAATATCTTGACATTTTCTTCGTTGATTTCCCTGACAAATTCTGACAGTCTGGTGACTCCTCGACCTGCGTAGTCTATAAGAACTAAGTTGACAGGTCGATGTGCTTCATGCACTAGCTCCCTGTTGATCTGTACAATGGTGTGTAACTCTGTTCCGTCACATAGTCCGGCCAAGTCCCACAGGCACAATCCAAAAGTGAAATACCAGTCCACCTGAAATATTTTAATGGATGTTGTTATGGATCACAAACCAGTCATCATTAGAATTTCTAAAAAATCTAAAAATTTCGTAATTTTACAGTTGCTGAGTTATCCAAATCACCTGAACTGGGAAGTAGTCGTCTGTTACTCGATACCAATCACTCTTAAAAACATCCATGATTTCTTTCTTAGAGAAACAGGCAGATGTGGCCCCTCCTCCTCTGAATGATTCTACTTGACTCAAACTATTAAAGGGTTTGCCCATCCAGAAACCACCGTTAGTGTGTATAAGTAGCCTCTTATTACTGGTTATGGCGTCCCCCAGACGTGGATTAGAGTCAGGGTTGATCCTGACTTTAGAAGATGTTCGGAATATGGATAATATCTCATTAGCCATATGTTTCTTGATGTATTCTCTAGAAGTTTCCGCGTGATCTTTAAACCGTATGAGAACTATCTCGTCCCTGTTTTGTCCCATGAACTCCTCAATCTCCAACAGAGCCCTCTTAAGAGAGTGGGAGTAAGCACAGCCGATATTCTCGTTACAATGAGCTAGCACCAGACCCTTCTCCCACCAATCTCCACTGTCCTCTGAGATGTGAGCCAGATCCAGGTCGAAGTATCTGATCCCTAGTTCCAGCTGCTCTGTGATTGACTTGTCCTGGTTCCGCACCAGGCAGCTAGGAGCTGGTAGTCCACTGTACCAGTACAGCAGCCCATTAGCTCCTGCTCCAGAGTTGTGAGTACCTGGGTCGGGGGAATATATTGAGCTGGAGGAAGTACTCAACAGTAACCGCGCTAATTAAATAGAATTTAAAATGAGTATTTGGCAAAGCTGGAGCAGCACCTTACCTGCAAGTGTAAAGTAATTCAGACGAAGATTGCAAGCACCAGATATCCCATTAACTTTGGTGCACTTATGGTACGCGGAAAGGTCTGCCAAGTCCCCCGCGGCTGTACTGATTAGAAAAGCAAGCAGCAACAACATCTTGCTACGTGTTAAATCGGGCAGGATTTCGAAATAGAGTTGAGTGTCAAATGCGGAGCAAGGGAGTTAGTCAATTTGGTTTCCACCAGGTGTCTTATGTAGCACCTTGAGATTCAGTGTGATGTCGTTAGCAAGAAGTTAATGTATACACGTTCAAACCGAGTATCTAAATTTGCTACGTCGACAGTCGACACAAGGTCCTTTGAGGTAGATTTAATTAGCTCTATGTTACCTGTGCCAAGATTCAACAGTTAGATTTAATACTCTAAATTAATTAAAACGACTGCCTACAACGTTTAGTAAGACTATATTTAATACACAATATTCAATTGAAAGACTTTTACTTACAAGATTACGCCTACATTAACCGAAGAAAGCATCGGCTGAACAATCATTAAGTGTTAATGTTCGATGTATCGGATCATCTCAGTTGTTACAGTAACAAATTATCAATGCGATTAAACAACACCTCATACGATTCTGATGTAATGAGTGATACTCTGGTAACCGGTAACTGGTAACTGGTTACCGGTAACTGGTTACTGGTTACTGGTTACTGGTTACTGGTAACTGGTTACTGGTTACTGGTTGCTGGTTACTGGTAACTGGTAACTGGTAACTGATAACTGGTTCTTTGTAAGTTTTGAAGATGAATTACCATTTGACAGTTCTAGAACCAACAAGAAATAAACCAATTGGGATTTAATGGGAATAAGTAACAGCCACATGGAAAAGTAAATTGTGGAAAGTGTACAATCAGATAGGCACCATTGTTTATGGTTATTGCAGTAAACTGCAATAACAATTTTGTGAAAGATTTTGTTCCTAGAATGTGTATAATTAATGTGCACTTACACTACACAGAAAACACATATTTTCCGAAGACCTAACACCTCTTTCAAATTCAGGCCGTGGCAAGTGCAGCAGCACTGGTCATTATATCGTACATAGCGATGCGGACGAGGCGGAATGGTATCCGATCCAGACAGATTCACTTCACCGTCCCAGGACACGATAAATCGATCACGAAAAACGGAGTCGTCAACAACTTTACCAAGTACAAGGAAGTAGATGATTCTATCGCAAAGATGAAACGTTAATCCCGTCAACCAGACACTCGGTGATGAAAATAATGCTGCTTCAGTGGGATTTAATTGATGTATTCTCGTCTCGAAGTTAGATTTAGGAAGTTGTGAACTTGGAACTTAATAGACTTAACAGTACACCTCTTTCACGGGAATATTATCTTGTTAAAACAATTTCGTTACCCTATTAGATATTTATAATGTGCTCGCTACCCCACTTCAAGTGTCTACTTTCGGCTTTTTATTCCAATTTTATATCCGAGATCTGAGCCGTGACCCATTTTAAAGTAGCATTAGAAGATTCACGGATATTTATTTAACTCACGGGGCCCTCTATTTAAGTTATAATTGGATTTTCATCAAAACTTTTTACGTTTCCGATGGTTGTGTAAGACCGTACATCATGTTGATTTTCGCTTTGTACATTATAATTCAGTGAAAAGAAGTTTTTCTGAATTTTATTTTAAACAAATATCTAAAGCATCTGGAAAAACAAAATCCACGCATAATAGTGGAAGCGTTGGTCTGGTTAAAAGGACATTTATTATCAAATATAAACTATTATCTATTATTAACTATTTAGTGGAACTCAAAACCCTCAAAAATCCTGAAAAGCTTCTTGTAATTGTGTCGGCAAATCCATTTTCAGACGGATTTGTCTGTACTGACAATGGAAAATTAAGAGAGATCACCATATATAGTAGTAGTACAAATAAAATCAGCTTATTCAGCATGAATGTCGAACATGGAACCGTTATCTTATGATTTTCTCCAACACAGGCTAATGATAATTATGGCATGTCTGATTAACAGTGGAGGTTTTCCATCCTAATATCTCCACTTCAACCATGACTCTTGCTTATATCGAGATCCGCCTTCGCTCGTTTTGATTTCGCTCGTCGATTTTGAAACCAAATTTTGACCTGAAATGAAGCATGTTTGCGTAATATCAGTTCTAAACTAGCAGAAATGAGGCAATACAATTACAATGATTTTTAAATGCCTATGGTTATATTATATTACGCTATTATGCGGCAGTGAGCTGTAGTGACCAGAAATAGTAATTTCGGTCCCAACTCTCAATGTTTCACTAGATCTCTACAACTAAAATGAGACATACATGTAATAGGGTATCTGAGACGAAAGCTACAAACCTGCGTTTCAGTCAGTCCGAGAGTCTTTGCCAGGTTATACCTGTCTCTAGTTGACAGGTAGGCTTGATCCGTGTAACACTGCTCTAGCTTTAGAATCTGGGCCTGGGTTAGTGGAGCTCTTGTCATCTACATATTATTACGTTACCTGGGGACCTCAGGCTATCATGTTTATAAACATAAAGATTATGCGGAATGACAGGCTGAGCGCGGCCCAGTAAATTATTACGAAGACAGTAATACACAGCCACAGATCACATGTGACATGTGTGAATGCATGATTTGAAAGTATTGAAAAGTTGAAGATAGGTTTAGTTTTACCGAATTAAGTCTGCGCCGTTTCCTTGGATGAGGTCTGTAAGGATCCAGGTTTCTGACCGCCACCCGGTTGACGTAAGTGTCTAATACTGAAATTAATTCTCTATTGGATTTGACTTGCTGACCTGTATTAAATACCTGGTTTCACGACAGGATCGATCAAAATGAATTTATTTCTGCTCCAATTTTACTCCATTTGTCATGAATCTCAAGCATTATTAGATTTAGATGCTATATACAAATAGAAATCAAGTCATGGGACCAACTAAATGAGCATTATGTCGCAATATTTTAAGACATATTGAAAGTAAGTGATAATACCAAAATTCCTATTAAATTTGTACGTGACATGAAGCCACAAAGCCACTCAGCTGCACTAATATTATAAAAGCAGAATAATGAATAAATTAGGGAGTTAGGGGAGGTCGGGGGCCGGGGCCTAATTTAACGATAACTAATAACTATAAGCAATTCAGAGACGTAATGATAACTGCCCTATTATATGCTTTGAAAGTGACATCGCATAACAGGGTTATTGGTTATATAGAAATTCGATGAGCTCCAACTCTGCAATTCGCGCGCGAAAAGGGGTTGCAAGTTGCAACGTGTGTCCACAATTCAGTGAGCTGCTGTTCCCGGTTCCGCTATAATGCCATGTCATTTCAAATTCAATGCCTATTCAATTTTCCGTCTTAATCTTAGAAAAAATCTTAACATAAAATGGATGAATAATGATATTCCAAATTTTGGAGTTAAATTGTATGGTAACAACTACAAGGAAGTCGAAGGTCCGCAGATTATATTTAGGACTATAGGAGCTGTATGCTGCTAGAATTTACCAGATTGATCGTAAGCTGCATGGCTATAGCCGTGATGGTGTCCGTTAAACCGTGTGGCTGGGTACATTAACATCATCTGATCTGTAGTGAGATAACTTCCTAGCGTCGGAATCTCCTGATTGTCGCATCCTGAGTTTTACAGAGTATTTATGCCGATAGAGTAAAAATAGGGACTAATTAATCCATACCTTATCGGACCTTAATTGGACGGACATTACTTGAACGCTGGAGGCCCTAGCGTTCATCTTAATGTCCGTTCAAATAAAGTCTGTTCAATTAATGTCCGTCCAAGTTAAAGTCCGTTGAAATTTTTCCAAAATTTTTCCATTTCCAACTTTTTGTCCAGAATATGACAACTTTGAAAACTTTATTGTGCCGTAAGTTAACGACGGAAAGGTTCCGGAGGCACAGAAAACTCTACAAGTATATAATGTTTTCAACGAAATTATGGCACTCCACAACATAGTTCATAAGCTAGTCCCCGCCAACATTACAAACTTGTTCCAGAGCTCTAGATATAACGGTAAATCGTGTTGCCAAGGACATTGTCCGAAGTTGTTACAGTTCATATTACTCGGGAGCGGTAATGAAACAGTGCTAAGAAAGCTCCGCGTGATGTTAAGGTTAACCTTAAGTTGTCTAAGATAAAACCACTTCACGCCGAATGGCTTGTAAAAGTTAACACTGAAATGCAGGACCGGGGTAGTTTGATAAAAAAGGTTTCCATAAAGCTAGAAATCACTGATGCTTTAAGCATGGACTATTTCATGCGCGAAAACCCATTTGATGAAGATGCAATGATATGTGATATTAGAAACTGATCATGTACACATATTTTAACATTTTTACTGCTTAATGACTGCTTTTCTTACTTACTGTATAAAAAATGGATTTAAAAATCATTTGCTGAAATTTAAAAAACGTCAAAAAAATTCGGATTTTTGATGGTTTTGAATGCCTTCGAGCGTTTATATTAATGTCCGTTCATAATTATGTCCGTCCAAATAAGGTCCGATAAGGTATATAATTATAAACAGTACAAAATGCAGATTATTGATAATTTGATCTTCCTTTGATCTTCTGAACTGTATCCAAAATGAAACGTTATAAAGCAATATGTTATATTTAACCCTATTGAATATAACTATAAGGGGATGTAAACTACATCATACATGTCATACTACTATAACAGTACCTGCACAGTATATCTAGACGGTGATAAATAGTTTGGGGAAATACCTGGAATTGTGAACTCATTTGCAGTCTTCTCATCGAAACCAGTAAATCCTATATGTTCGTTTTCTCGCTGAAGGACAAGGCTTCTAGAATTATAGAATTATGATGCATAAATAGTCAATCACTATTAGTATCACTATAGCTAGAATGGAGATACAATACAATTAAAACCGATAGTACTAATACTATACTTTGAGTTCAGCCACTGGCCCAGACTGCGCCATTGCATACTTGACAAATGTTGAACTTGAGTACTGGATCTGATCAAACGAGAAAAAAACCCCCCATTTCGACCAACTAACCAGATCATATTGCTGTGGATAAGACGACCCTCGAGAATCTCTCCCAATTGGAGCTAAAGGGTTAGTTGCCATTTCCGTTCGTGTAACTTCACCTGATTTACTACCGCTAGTAGCAGTACTGCTACTTAACAGGAAGTCGATAGAAAAATTTGAACTTGACTTCATAATCATCAGAATCTGCAAAGTTAGGATAAGAAGATATAACTAGATAAGGAGTAAACTATTAATTAATGCTTTTCAAACAAAGTTACAACGAACTCTTCATGTAGTGCATCCTGGGTTTGGACAGGATATGCCCGTTTACAATATTTCCATCACGTTACGTTACATGATTCTCAATAAATGTAATAGATTCGTAGTGTTGTAATTAGTTTAAAACACTACAATTTTACAAACACTATGATTTCGCGTATTATAAAGATAACTAAGCAGTCACAATACAATGTCACATGTGAAGTTTGATTGTATAGTACTCTAAAGACAAAGTATGATCTCTATCAGAAGCAGTCTTGATCAGCCATTGGGATGAAAAATGATTTGTACCAGAAATGTCAATTTATTAGAAATCGTTTTTAAGAATAATTGAAATGATACTCGAGCTTTAGAAAAGGGTGCGGAGTCGCACTGTTACCCTAATCCCGCACTTTATCGCTGCACCGTTATGCGCTCTAAGTCTATCAGATTTGAGTTCTTGGTACTGCTGTGTGCAATGAGATAAGATTAAGATCGACCACATGTCACATGATTACATGCAATGCCCATAACTATGGCCATGGTTAGGGTCAAACGTTTTTCATGACGTGACATCAAAAACACTGGAAAGACAAAAGAAATTATACATTTAGAAATCAGGAAAGGACATTTTAATACTAATACTATTAATTATCGATGATTGATAAAATGACAAAAGAAGGTGATATATATTTAGGGTCGTAATAACAGATTGAAATCGAGTCACTTTATTCACAATTAGATACATTGTAATATATATATATATAGGTACAATCACATAATACTGTAGTTTACAGGCACTGCATTTTAGCTTGTAATTGTATACAATACATGATAATGTATTGTTATTGGAATCTAAGACTAATGTTAGAAAGTTAGGACATGATTCGTGTCCTACACCAGAGGGACCTCATTATATAAACGTCTTTTACGTAACCTCGATGTAGGTAGGCTGAGTGCCACAACATCATAAACACTGCAATTTAAGCACAGATTTGTCGACAGTACAAAATTTAAGCATTTTTTCATGACTTTAATTTTGTGCGGAATTTGCGCACTACACTGTATTAGTATTACTATTAGTATATCAGTATCACGTGGTTTGACGTTTCCTTATTCATCTTCATGGACTGGACTAACCCGACAAAGAACAATTCCGATATTATTATTATAATTCCGACCAAATTATATGTTACAGACCCTTTAGATACCAAACTTTTTAAACTTTGGAAAATTTTCCTTTCTAACGGTAATTCTTATAATTAATATTATTTTTGGTCCGGGGTCAGAAATTTCACTGCACTTTCAAGCAAACATATGGATCGAAAATTTAAAACATTAATTTGCTGTTAATGATTCGGCTAATATCATTTTAAAGTGCTTCTAATCTTGTGATGCTTGATTTTGAAAGGATTCCATTATTCGAATTTAAAGCTAATTGATCTCTATTTTCCCTAAACAGCAATAATGACGCTAACAACAGTTGAAACTAAAATTTATCCCAAATTTCGCAATCACGAGGATATTGAAAATATAATAACTTGAAGCATGTTATACTTGAAGTTGAAGTTTATTGATCAATGATCATCTCCTCCTTCAATACGAGAAAATGAATCGATGCGATAGGAAACTATATCGATAATGAATATGTCAACTTTGATACGTGCTGACATGAAAATTGCCGTAACCTGCCGTTTTCACTTAAAATGAGGGTTTGCTAATAGATCAATCCGTTATTGATATCACGTGTTGAAATGCTAACCTCAATAAACCATTCGGCATTGACACATATCAGATAGAATTCAAATCAATAAATGAAATGCGGTCGACGCGACTTTTGCTGTATATATATAATAAATTTATTCGATTTTGTTGGAGTCCCGTCATGGCATATATAACTATAAGTATTGAGTAATCACATGGATGGCCTTAATGGATCTTTCAGCTCAGCCTGATTGATTTTATATCATATTATATTGCTTCTATAAATACAACTCCGTCGCCCTAACTTGCTGCATGTATTAATGAACAATATCGAGCTCGGTATTCACTTAAATTGGTTGTTAAAATATCATTTCACTCCCAGTCCCTTATGTCATTGTGTACTTTAATAATTTCCATCATTTTACATGCACAGAAACAGTGGATTCTCATACAAATGGTAAAGTTATATAGTAGATTGTTGTAATAAGGAGACAAATACAAAATAGAAACAATCCACAAGCACAATCAGTCATGAGCGAACTGAAATACTTCGGCTGTTACAATTGCTGCAGTTAAGTTCAATATCTCCTGATAAGTGATCAGGTGCTGTAGTTAAGTTCAATATCTCCTGATAAGTGATCAGGTGCTGTAGTTAAGTTCAATATCTCCTGATAAGTGATCAGGTGCTGTAGTTAAGTTCAATATCTCCTGATAAGTGATCAGGTGCTGTAGTTAAGTTCAATATCTCCTGATAAGTGATCAGGTGCTGTAGTTAAGTTCAATATCTCCTGATAAGTGATCAGGTGCTGCAGTTAAGTTCAATATCTCCTGATAAGTGATCAGGTGCTGTAGTTAAGTTCAATATCTCCTGATAAGTGATCAGGTGCTGTAGCTCTCAAATCGTTCACTTTTCTTCATACAAATTCCTGAAAACATGTATCCTTGATAATGATGTGTTATTGCGTAGTATCTACTTACATTAAGACTTAAGAGTATTGAGTCATGACGTAAGGAAAAGGATCAGTGGGGCTTTCCAGTTTCTAGTTTCCAACCATAAATTGATGACAAAATTGAAAATATTGTTTGTAAGTCCGACTTAGAAATTGTTCATATATTACATTTACTCAAACCAGAGTTTGGCTGGTATCTAGACAATAATTGATCACAAATCTTAACGAATGTTTACTGATTGTATGTGTCACATGTGACACATACAATTCAAAATAGATACCATATGAACTTTCTGATGGATGTCCTATAGAATAGGATACGTCTAGTTTTTTAATTGACAAGAAATCATGTCCCAATCTTATTCTTGGTGGCGCATGCACTATCAACTATGCATCCAAAATCTAACAAAGAGTTTTTAGACCAGTCCACGGTTTTGATTTTCATTTGATCGAGTCTGAAAGGCCACTTTTGACTCAATTACAGGAGAGCAATGTCTTGTATTGTAAGTCTTGACATTGAAAAGGGGAGAAATAAAACTCGCTTTGTGCGCGTGCGTACGTGGTACGTATTTCCAAGAAGTGGTACGTTTTTGCAGGAAGTGGTACATTTTTCCAGGAAGTGGTACGTTTTTGCAGGAAGTGGTACATTTTTCCAGGAAGTGGTACATTTTTCCAGGAAGTGGTACATTTTTCCAGGAAGTGGTACATTTTTCCAGGAAGTGGTACGTTTTTCCAGGAAGTGGCAAGTGGCACGCCCTAAGAAATACTAGTACTTTAATTTCTTCCCGTCTACCACCCCTTCTTCAGAATCACCATACAGAATGTAGTAAATAAATGCGAAGGGATTGTGAAATTTCAACCATTGTCTTAAATCCTCATCTGACATTCTTCAACAAATTTCCCTGTGATGGAATCCGGTAGAATATCGAAATAACATTGATCTGTTCTCTTGTATCGGAACAAAGCGAGCCAGACACTGGCCGATACAAGGAATAATGCTACTTCTCTTTGTTTGGTTGGTTGTCCGAACTATCTGATGCAGTCCGTGCCCATCACTATTGCAAAGCCAACCATTTATAAAGTCACTCAATAAGGGGTTTGCCGCTTTCTAGTTTGCAGTTCAGCTTTGTCTTCATTTGCAGCTGAGAGGATTTTGATTCTAAAATACTGCAAATTTTGTTTTCGATCAAATCTAACGTAATTCTAAATTCCAAACGTTGTTGTAATTATAACTTATGGAATGTTAGTCTTATATTTTTATTTGGTCCATTGAATCAGATCACAGATTTTAAGACTGAATTAAAATTGACCTGTTACATTATAAATTTCAGGTTCCAACTGAATTAGTGAATTCACCTAATAGCTTTGTGGCTGAATGATTCGGCCACCAAATAATTAAGTTGATTATCATCATTATAATGAAGTAAACGGCGAATTAAAGGTTGATCATTGATCAAATCGTCCATCAAAGACTTGATTGACCTTTAACCCAAATTATAACGGTGTTTTATTTTGAGTGAAGTTCGTTTAGTTGCACTTTAATAGCCGTTAATAACCGTCCACTCACTACTTGAGAGCAACAACCCCGTTGGGCCGTGGGGCCTGGTTAGGCCTATTACAATCATTAACAACCCCTTAAATGAGTCGCTTAATTAGTCCCCTTCTCCGTTCATGGGGTTGCTCATCTTTATTCTTGTGTGTGAATAAAGATGAGCAGTTGTGTATTGCTTGCATGATTTCTAGGTTTGGACTTTAGTAAATGTGTAATATTATCGGTCGCGCCGCATTCCGCAATATTTTGTGATTTGTTTTCAAATTTTTAATGAACTCAAATGAGTAGCAATTGATGCTTAATTTATACGAACTATTTGTAACTAATCTCATTGATGTGGAAAGTCAAAGATAATTGATAACAAAAGATCATTGTACAATTGACATAATGAATCACAGACTTACAGTTAGCCGGTCTTACTCTTTAACCTATGATCACGGAGGGTTTGAATCTAAAAGTCGATTGGTTTTACAACTTTCAATAAATACTGTGGAATAAAATCAATGATCCTTAAATAACTAATATGTAATCGTTACTACTTTACTAATACTATCTGCAGAAGATTTTAAAAATGATTGGTGATCGTCACAGTAAGACAGTTTTCATCGGGTAAGCCTCAATAATTTTTCAAGCTAGCTGCGTTATTGTCTAAATGCATAACTAAAACTGAACTCTTAATTCGATATAACGAATTCAGAGTTTAATATAAATATTAAACTCTCAGTTCCCATTTCACAAATTACTTTTCTCTCAATCAAAAATATTTAACAAATTATTTCAGGTTTTTGGCTCTGATTTCTCTGTGTTGTAAGTAGTACTGAATTTGTCTTTTTAAATTTAATTTAAATGGCCCGTAATGCAACGATAAGGGGTCGTTCACATATTACGTAATCATTTTTGGAACATTTTTACCCCCCCCCCCCTCCCCCCCCCCCCCCCCCCCTGCGTAATCAGTTCTACACATAGCTATTGAGTCAAAATTACACTAGCGTAATCATTCGGAAACCCCCCCCCCCCCCCTCAGCTGATAACGTAATATGTGAACGACCCCTAAGAATTGTTTACTACTTTGTATTTACTATTTAGGTAAGTTTGATGTATCGAAACTAAAATCAGTAACATGTCAATAACATCATCACAAAGTTCTCTTCATTCAGATGCCCGCTCATTAGACTCAGATTTAGCCGGGGATAACGAGGTTGTGGTGCTGGAGAAGAGGGAGGAGGATGAGGTTGTTCTAGATTTAGAGTTAGAAAACAGAGATAACGAAGATATGACAGAGTTAGAAGAAAGGTTGGAAAATATAATTGCCCTCGAAGAAAAGGGAGCTGGTAAGTTTCGCTGAAACTGTTAGTGTTATTCCTACACTATATCAACCATACGATTACTCGGATCTTATTGTCATAATACATACTTTTATTTCCCTTTTCCAGAATATATGTATAAAAAGGGTGGCAAAGATACTAGACCGCCAACAGGGCAAGATGGCTTCTTTTTTGTTCCAGATGATGGTCGTAGAAAACGTCCTCGAAAGAAGAACAAATTTTCTTTTGATGGAGGCGAATTAAGTCGCACATTATTTTAGAGGTTAATGTGAGCCACCTTTTTTTATGGTTTAGAATCGAAACTGGTTTTCCCTATTCTAACACACACAACCCCGGCATGCGCAGGGATTATATTTCAATTTTTCCCGCGACGCGCGGGAAAAATTTATAATAATTTCGAGTGCGAAGCACGAGGGATTATTATGAAAATAACCCCGACGTGCTTTAGCACGAGGGGTTATTTTAATATAACTTAAGCGTGCCGGTGTTATGTGTTATAAACCCCTCCGGGTTAGTGCAAGGACCAACAAATTTGACATTTTACTCTTTATTCTAGCTATTACATGAGATCAGTATGGAAAATATGAAATGGAATTGGGGACTACCAAATAAATACAACTAATAAGGTACTATGACATTTGAAATTGGCGTTATATCTAAACAATAACATTATTCCTCAGTCAGAACGTTGAATGAATATCGATAAGGGGCGTCGAGTTAAGCCTGGCAAGCGATAAAAGGTGGAGCTAATAATGATATCGTGTCATGAAGTTCATCAAAGTAGACGACTATAATACATGGCTTATACCAAACACGACAAAATTGACCGGACAAATGTAACCGTCGAGACAAGTTCTGGAACTGGTCCAATAAATGTAAGAGTTTAAGTAATGTAAGCAGTGTGCTGGAGTTTTGCCAGCGCCTGCAATTAGACCGATACGTAGATGATAGATCAAGTGTATTTATAGTTCTTACGTTAAGCCATAGGTCACGTGACATTTTTTACCAATGCGCGTCGTAGTAGTTAGTCACGTGATACACGTCATCAAAACACGTGACAGTGCGCGGTTGAAATTCTCATGGAATATCAAAATAAAACAAATCTTGTTGAGCCAAATTAGCGGGACGGGATTATAGAAACTGTGCCGGGGTTATTTATTCAGCGGGAAAAAACTAACAGCGGGAGCCGGGATTATCAAAATCTATTTAGCGGGAGCCGGGATTATCAGAATCTTATTCTATCCCGGAGGGGTTTATAAAGCACTAACCTCTTCTTCTACCGTTTTTTTGTCTGGGCACAGGCTTTTTACATACTTTACCTTTCTAACAATCTCGTGCAAGGCATCATTAGTTCGACGAGGATAGAATGGATTTGAACTCTCGGCTGGAACACACCATGATAGCCAATCTGACCTTCTTCTGCTATTTTCTTTAATAACGTCCTTCATAAGAAGTGTCGCTTCATTCTCAATCTGTCTGATCATTTCTGTGTACTGATGAATGTGAACCTAGAAATCGCAAACAATATACATGTATACATTTTTACTTGTTGACCGTTAAGTTTAGAAACATGTTTACGTGAAAACGTCATAAAAATACTAACTATAGTCACAACTGTAGCACTATATTACCGTCTGATATGGCGAAAATTCAGGTTTCTTCTTCGTTGCTGATCAACACGGACAGCACAACAAGGATAGTCTACTAAACATAAAATAGACATGTTTTCTCATGAATTGTGAATGTGTTCAAGGGTAATGACAAAGCCGCAGTGAGATTTCCCAATTTCAGCAGTTTTGCCAATCACTAAATTATATGTAATAATATATATTATATATATAATATATAGCAAGTGTTCTCAAGGCTGTCATAAGGAACTGCAGGCCTGATTTCGTGGCAGACTAACCTCAGTAGCCTAAATTTTCCACAGTTTTGTAAGCTGAGAGCATGTAATTTGCTGTTATTATGCTGCATTAATGTGTTCAACAAAAGCAGAGTTTTTAAAACATAAAGACAGAACAGCTCTAATAAGACTACATTTTCTAAGCCGGGAGCCATACATTAAATTTAAAAATTTGTCAATTCTCCAGCTGAAGAGGTTGAATTAGAAGCTCGAGGCGGAGGAGGGTTTTTCTTTCAACCTAACAAACGAAAACTGACGAAAGGGGGGCGTTCGCGAGCTCGAGCGAGGCGGGCAGCAGAATCCGGTGACCTCAACACTTCGTTAAAAAGTACACATTGTTTCGCTATCACTGCCCTATCAGCCAATAGCTTAGTGTTAGACTCTTCTTTAAGGGTCATGATAGGGTAGTTAGTCTGATGTTAGTGTCGAAGTGGTTTTTGTAATTGTAGTCTTTTTGTAATTGTAGTCTTTATAAATATGATCGCGGTAATTATTGTAGAGGTTAAACTTTTGTTGAAATTTATCAGATAAAGATAGTGAAGATGTTGTGCTAGATATCCGCGGAGGAGCTTTTTTCTTCCAACCAAACAAACGAAAACTGAAAGGGAGAAAATCTCGTGCCACTGTAATAAAACATTCATCGTTTTGTGTCTCTGTGTCATATGTAAACCAAGTTTCATTTTTCCATACTCCGTGCATGTAAACTGGTCACCTGTGTTGTGCTTGCAGCTGTCAATAACATCATATCAGTACCTCTCATCTCATTATGTGTTAATGTTTGACTACTAATTGCTAATATTGAATCCAACATTTTCGTATTGCTGCGTTACTCCTGCGCTCAAGCTGCTCGGAAGGATTATTACTGACATTTCTCATTTGTGTTTGGGATACTGGTACATGTAGTATTTGAGATACTTGCACTTTGTACTTGTTGTATTACCTTATCGGACCTTATTTGGACGGACATTACTTGAACGCTGGAGGCCCTAACATCATACTAGTATATGATGTTTTCAAGGGTCACTTGGCGGAAAAAGTCAACGAAATCATGACACTCAACAACATAGTTCATGAGCTAGTCCCCGCCAACATGACAAACTTGTTCCAGCCTCTAGATAATACGGTAAATCGTGTTGCCAAGGACATTGTCCGACGTTTTTATAGTTCATATTACTGAGGGGAGGTAATGAAACAGTGCTAGGAAAGCTCCACGTGATGTTAAGGTTAACCTTAAGTTGTCTAAGATAAAACCACTTCACGCCGAATGGCTTGTAAAAGTTAACACTGAAATGCAGGACCAGGGTAGTTTGATAAAAAAGGTTTCCACAAAGCTAGAAATCACTGATGCTTGTTTAAGCATGGACTATTTCATGCACGAAAACCTATTTAGTGAAGATGATATGTAATATTAGACACTGATCATGTACACATATTTTAACATTTTTACTGCTTAATGACTGCTATTCTTACTTACTGTATAAAAAGTGGATTAAAAAATCATTTGCTGAAATTAAAAAAACGTCTAAAATTTTAAAAAATTCGGATTTTTGATGGTTTTGAATGCCTTCGAGCGTTCATATTAATGTCCGTTCACAATTATGTCCGTTCATGTAATGTCCGTCCAAATAAGGTCCGATAAGGTAGTTAATAATGGTAGTGAGTGACGGATCACACTGCTTGTAATAGAAAGGTCGAGGGTTCGACTGCAGCCCCTCCATGCTCCTTCGTAGATTCACTTCGCTGGGTAAACGTCAGATACACAGCTACACACCTGTATTTAACTTGAAGCTATTCAAGTATTAGTAAAGCATATTACATTCTTTACAATTATGCTGTTAGCTGTTTAGAGACGCGACTGTATGTGAATGAGGGGTGTGTCCCTTGAAGTTTTCATTTCTGTGGGATAGGAAACTTTGCTTATCTTCTTCGCCAGTTCCATTTAAAGATTTACCTCTGACCGCTGATCTTATTAAGCTTTACATTCCAATTTTATAGTTTTAAAAATAAGTACAAATGATCTATTTAAAAACAAAGTTTAATAAGAAATGAATGAGCCGCCGCCCGCTTTGATTCCAAAATTTCGTTTAAGATCAGTTAAATGTAACACATTGTTTTATTTTCAGAGATAAAGTTATTGGTTAGAAAGGCAAAGCAACTTGATGCAGGATATACCAACTTAAACTTATATCAACAGACTTATTTACTAAAAAAACTTCAAATAATCAATCAGCTCTGCAGTGGGAATCGAACAATATTTTATGTTTTGGGGACAATATTTTTGAACTTTCAGAGTATTTCGATATTGCACAGGCATACTCTTTAACTGATCATTCTCCTCTTCTTATTTCAAACTATAGAATATACTAATATAGATAGCACAAATACAGTTTTAGAAAGTAGCCGATGGTTTTATTTGTTTATCTCAAAACATAAAATTGATAATAATAATCCGGCCTTGCTATACATACCTAACTCTAATTTTTGTATTACTAAGCCATTACGCAAACACAACAAGACTTCTTTTAGTTCAACAATTCAAGTATCTCAAACTGATCAGAAACACCAAAAGAAAGTTGAGAAGAGGATTAGGAGAAATGAGGATAGCATTCTTGGACTGCTGTTACATCGTTCTTCTGAGCACGATCTGATGTTCGGGAGCTAGTTGATTCTCAAATATGTTTACACTTGTAGGTTTATAACCTACTAAGAGTAAGACGCGCGCCGAGTTGACTCGTCGACGGTCTTTTAGTTATAACGGTCTTGTATTTCGAGCGTACTAAATCACTCTATAGTCGATCTTCGAGATTGTTCTAAAAGGGCCCCCGACAGTTGAAACCAACGTCAATCGATGTATTTTCGGACGCTGATTCCGAATCACCTCCCATGACATAGGGTTAAAATGCTCCCCTGACGAGATATAGGCGAAAAACTGTCTCGATCACGTGATATGACCGTATAAGGAAGTTAGTCTAATTTCTCGTTAGGGTTAGGGTTTCAGCATATGCTTTTGTTAAGGATTGGGTTAGGGTTAGGATTGGGATCAGATAAGAGGGTTAGGGTTTCGAATAGTCGTTCAGGACTAGCTAGAGAACGGGTTGAAAAAGTCACGTGATAGTCGAGTGTAGAGTGATTAATTATCATCCCTTGTATTTGAAACAAATATTTTACGAGTATCACCCGTTAATTTTACACTAACGTTTCTAAATTTACTGGTTAAAGATCTAAGGCTGTGGTTCAGGTATCAATGGCGTAGTATCAAAATCGACTGTCCTGCTGTTTGAAAACTTAGATGTATGTACATTGTACCTAACATAACTCATTTCCGAATTCCGAAAAACTTCCATTCATCCTAAATGTCATTTTTATTATTTTTTAAGAAAGCAATTTCGCCCAATGCTCAATTTAATTTCTAGTAATACACAGTATACACTTCCTTTAATAGGTTTTGGGTATTATATATATGTTGATTTTAGTTGATGCTCTTCGAACTAGATTACAGTACTATTTGTATTTGTACACCAGGGACAAAAGAAAATCGCAGCATGTGCGGGATCGCGATTTTTCCCATTCTTTGCAACAAATTTTATATGTCGTCTGTTTGGCTTGTATTGTCGCGGTATCGCGATTTTTGGCCAAAATAATCGCGATTTTCTTTTTTCCCTGTTGTACACTGTACAGTTATTGTACCCAATAATATTGATTGTCGATATTAAAATTAAATACATTTATTTCAAAATTTCAATTAGTTTTTTATTTCACAACCTATAAGTAATAGTATAACCGATAAAAAAATTGGTAACTTCACATTCATATTCGAACACTAGACAGTTAAAAACTTCTCCTTGTACTTTTCTCATAGTTGGTTCGTGCGTCAATTTTTCGGGAAAAGTACGTAAAGTGCGTTTGAATTATTTCGTGCGTTAAAAGTGCGTTTAAGTTCGTTTACCGTTGAATTCACCAGCATTTTCTGTAGACTGTAGAGACAAACAATTAAAACACATGAATAACGTTCTTAAAGATTACATAGCGAATAAATTACATTTATTTCTCTTACAATTTATAGTTTCTTTTCAATATATTTAAGTAAGGAACTTCCAGTACAATCTCTTTTTGTTGTCGCAAGTGCTTTACACGTTGAAGCCAGAGGCAACGCCCGCAACACTGCACACGCACACTGGCATTCCAAAAATAGCTACTGTAAGGCTCACAATGACACTGACAGTTTATGTGAAATCTTGGAAATAACACTGTCTGATGTTTTGAACTGTGTATTCAAAAATGAAAAAACCGCAAATGGCCCAGCGAGGGTAGGTAAAAGTGCGTTTTACGTTTTTTCGTACGTTATGTGCGTTATGTTTTAAAAGTACGTTAAGTGCGCACGAAGCAACTATGACTTTTCTAACAACTCCTGATCAAGAGACTACCTTGTTCTTCTTACTTGGCAGCGCTCAGCCTATCACTCTGCCTTATATCCACCAGCGGGCTAAGTGTGTACTGTGTATGACCACTAAGGTCTTGGGTCCCTAGATAAGCTACTTCCCTGTTTGTCTGGTTTTATGATCTCGATCGAGTACAGCTGAAGTTGAGCATATTACTGTATGCAATTAACGGTTACAATATAAAATGTAGTAAAGAGCAGTGTCAACTCTCAATGTAGGTATTTACAGTAACATTTCGGTGAATGTATTGATTGTACTCGTGTGAAGTAACTTTACTGCGTAGTTGGTAGTGGGGCAATACGTCTGTTGAGTAACAACAACAGGATGCAATGTAATAGCAGTATGGAGTAAAATACGGAACTAAATAGTGAAAAGTAGAAAAAATAAATAACGAAGATAGTACGAATATTTCTTATGTCTTGTGTTACATTTCGATAGTAAGTTTGGTGATGCTATGAAGACTTTCCTTGTATTAGCATTACTCTTTGTGTCTGTTAGAAGCTGTGAGGAGGCAATATGCGAGTTCGTATATAATAACCCTGATTGGGAGGATCATTCCAGCAAAGAAGATACTTCCTTTGAAATTACAGTGGAGCAGGGCAAGGTCACTGGTATTGTCACTGCCAGTTTTGATATAATATCACCAACATGTGAATATAAACAAAAAAGCCATCAAATTCATGATTTCTTGAGGTTTTACACTCGTGGGTATGGAGAATCATTCCAATCACTGATATTCAAGATACGTTACAGCACGGACACCTATTTCGATATTAATGGGAAGAATCAATATGATCAGATAGTTGGAGATACAGATAGAACTATAACAGGGAAAGCAGCTAATATTCAGATATCAGACCAGTACTCTGATTACTACAAGATCTATCTCGGAGACCCTGGTGATGCTAAAAGTTTGGACTACAACTTTGAATCAGAGGTCAGTTGGAAATGGTTTCAATAACGAGGTGCGTCTACGAGATACAGTGAGGATAAAAAATGGCGGAATATGTACAGTTTTTAAATACATATCAGCCTGCTCCGATCCTACACCAAGACTCTGTGACGAAGAAGAAGCTATAACACAAACTGTGAACCTCGGCTCCCCCTACACTCTCACCTGTGCTGGCTCTGGAGCTCCTTATCTTGATGTCAAGTGGATTAAAGACGGTAAACCTACTGTTATACTGCCAACTAATACCTACACCTCTATAGAGGCGGATCACAGGATAGAATCGGCTGTCACTATAGGTAGGGTCACTACTGATCACCTCGGAACTTGGACCTGCACAATCCTCAACAAGAACTTCATGAACAGTGTAACTAAGACATACACGTTACAATACACTCACTCTGTATCACTCAGCTCCTCACCTTTAGATTACTATACAGAAAATAGTGAAGACACTGAGTTTAAGTGGGTTGTACAAGGCTGGCCACTAGAACAAGTTGCACTAGATTGTGGAGGTAAAGGCGCGGTAACAAAAGATGAGAGTGGATATGCCTCCTCCACTCCTCCTCAGGTCATATTAACACTAACTCTGAGTAACCAGGATGAGGTGAGCTGTACTCTGAAGAATGGAGATAACGACCTGGATACTCGTCAGATCACTAGAGTTGGATATAAGTGTGAGGCTGGAGAGGGTGGATATGGTAAAGACTGTGAGGAGTGTCCAGCAGGAAAAACAAGTAGAGCTGGAGTTGGAGAGTGCTCCTCTCCTGAAAGCGCTTGTTCAGAGGGATACTGGGGATATAATGGAGTGAGCTGTCAACCGTGTCCGGACAACCAAACCAGTTGGCCTAAAACTGTGAAAATACAGGAGTGCTTTCTTGATGTAAGTTATTGTCTGGAAGGCCAATATGGATATGAAAGCGAATGCAGTGAATGTCCAGGAGGAAAGACAAGTTCTACGTTTACAAAGAAAGTGGCTGAATGCTTCCCTGATGTAAGTCACTGTGCCGAAGGACAGTATGGATATGAAAGCAAATGCAGTGAATGTCCAGGAGGAAAGACAAGTTCTACGTTTACAAAGAAAGATGCTGAATGCTTCCCTGATGTAAGTCACTGTGCTGAAGGACAGTATGGATATGAAAGCGAATGCAGTGAATGTCCAGGAGGAAAGACAAGTTCTACGTTTACAAAGAAAGTGGCTGAATGCTTTCCTGATGTAAGTCACTGTGCTGAAGGACAGTATGGATACGGAAACAACTGCACTCAATGTCCAGGAGGAAAGACTAGTTATGCGGAAAAAAAGAAAGTGGCTGAATGCTTCCCTAATGTAAGTTACTGCGCTGAAGGACAGTATGGATATGAAAGCAAATGCAGTGAATGTCCAGGAGGAAAGACAAGTTCTACGTTTACAAAGAAAGTGGCTGAATGCTTCCCTGATGTAAGTCACTGTGCTGAAGGACAGTATGGATACGGAAATTACTGCACTCAATGTCCAGGAGGAAAGACAAGTTATGCAGAAACAAAGAAAGAGGCTGAATGCTTTCCTGATGCAAAACAAGCTCATGAGTGCAAGTGTGAACCACAAGCAAATATCGCTGTACCTGTAGGAACATGTGCTGGAGGGTTGGTCTTCATCCTGGCTATTCTTCTAGTGTAGTGTTTGACATACTGGTACGTGTAATATTTGAAATACTTGTACTTTTTACTTCCCCCTTCGTTTTCATTTCTGTTGGATAAGAAACTTTGCTTATCTTCTTCGCCAGTTCCATTTAAAGATTTACCGCTGACTGCTGATCTTATTAAGCTTTAGATTCCAATTTTATAGTTTTTAAAATAAGTACAAATGATATATTTAAAAACAAAGTTTAATAAGAAATGAATGAGCCGCCGCCCGCTTTGATTCCAAAATGTCGTTTAAGATCAGTTAAATGTAACGCATTGTTTTATTTTCAGAGATAAAGTTATTGGTTAGAAAGACAAAGCAACTTGATGCAGGATATATCAACTTAAACTTATATCAACAGACTTATTTACCAAACAAGTTCAAATAATCAATCAGCTCTGCAGTGGGAATCGAACAATATTATATTAAAGACAAGCCAATCGAGTGATGATTAAGACAAGCCGATCGAGTGATGATGTGTGTTGTGGCTGTGGTATGAGTGCGGTTTTTAAAGATGGTGAATGTTTATTGTTTATGCATACCACATTGCACTAGCTTTTCTTGTTTTTGCTCCTGCATATGAGCACACAAAACTTCATAGTTTTCGCAATATTTTGGTTTGATTTCATTTAAAGCTATTGAAGTGTTGGAGTGAGTTCATACTAAACATGAACCATATAGTGTGCAGTGCCCTGAACAGAGGGATTATTATTCACTATTATTTTATATGTTTTAATTGGTCATTAGAACCGCCTGCTTTCAATCATTCAATCATATGTTTTGGGGACAATATTTTTGAACTTTCAGAGTATTTCGATATTGCACAGGCTTACTATTACTCTTTTACTAATTATTCTCCTCTTCTTATTTCAAACTATAGAATATACTAATATAGATAGCACAAATACAGTTTTAGAAAGTAGCCGATGGTTTTATTTGTTTATCTCAAAACATAAAATTGAGAATAATAATCCAACCTTGCTTTGTATTCCTAACTCCGATTTTTGTATTACTAAGCCAAGAATTCTTCAAGTTCAACAATTCAAGTATCTCAAACTGATCAGAAACACCAGAAGAAAGTTGAGAAGAGGATTAGGAGAAATGAGGATAACATTCCTGGACTGCTGTTACATTCTTCTTCTGCTGTTACATCGTTCTTCTGCTGTTTCTTTCTTCTTCTGCTGTTACATCGTTCTTCTGCTCACTGCTGTTTCTTTCTTCTCTGCTGTTTCATTCTTCTTCTGCTGTTACATCGTTCTTCTGCTGTTTCTTTCTTCTTCTGCTGTTACATCGTTCTTCTGCTGTTTCTTTCTTCTTCAGCTGTTGCATCGTTCTTCTGCTGTTTCTTTCTTCTTCTGCTGTTTCATTCTTCTTCTGCTGTTACATCGTTATTCTGCTGTTTCTTTCTTCTTCTGCTGTTACATCGTTCTTCTGCTGTTTCTTTCTTCTCTGCTGTTTCATTCTTCTTCTGCTGTTACATCGTTCTTCTGCTGTTTCTTTCTTCTTCTGCTGTTACATCGTTCTTCTGCTGTTACATCGTTCTTCTGCTGTTTCTTTCTTCTTCTGCTGTTACATCGTTCTTCTGCTGTTACATCGTTCTTCTGCTGTTGCATCGTTCTTCTGCTGTTTCTTTCTTCTTCTGCTGTTGCATCGTTCTTCTGCTGTTTCTTTCTTCTTCTGCTGTTGCATCGTTCTTCTGCTGTTTCTTTCTTCTTCTGCTGTTTCATTCTTCTTCTGCTGTTACATCGTTCTTCTGCTGTTACATCGTTCTTCTGCTGTTTCTTTCTTCTTCTGCTGTTTCATTCTTCTTCTGCTGTTACATCGTTATTCTGCTGTTTCTTTCTTCTTCTGCTGTTACATCGTTCTTCTGCTGTTTCTTTCTTCTTCTGCTGTTTCTTTCTTCTTCTGCTGTTTCATTCTTCTTCTGCTGTTACATCGTTATTCTGCTGTTTCTTTCTTCTTCTGCTGTTACATCGTTCTTCTGCTGTTACATCGTTCTTCTGCTGTTTCTTTCTTCTTCTGCTGTTTCATTCTTCTTCTGCTGTTACATCGTTCTTCTGCTGTTTCTTTCTTCTTCTGCTGTTACATCGTTCTTCTGCTGTTACATCGTTCTTCTGCTGTTTCTTTCTTCTTCTGCTGTTACATCGTTCTTCTGCTGTTACATCGTTCTTCTGCTGTTGCATCGTTCTTCTGCTGTTTCTTTCTTCTTCTGCTGTTGCATCGTTCTTCTGCTGTTTCTTTCTTCTTCTGCTGTTTCATTCTTCTTCTGCTGTTACATCGTTCTTCTGCTGTTACATCGTTCTTCTGCTGTTTCTTTCTTCTTCTGCTGTTTCATTCTTCTTCTGCTGTTACATCGTTATTCTGCTGTTTCTTTCTTCTTCTGCTGTTACATTTTTCTTCTGCTGTTGCATCGTTCTTCTGCTGTTTCTTTCTTCTTCTGCTGTTTCATTCTTCTTCTGCTGTTACATCGTTCTTCTTCTGTTACATCGTTCTTCTGCTGTTTCTTTCTTCTTCTGCTGTTTCTTTCTTCTTCTGCTGTTACATCGTTATTCTGCTGTTTCTTTCTTCTTCTGCTGTTACATCGTTCTTCTACTGTTACATCGTTCTTCTGCTGTTTCTTTCTTCTTCTGCTGTTACATCGTTCTTCTGCTGTTACATCGTTCTTCTGCTGTTACATCGTTCTTCTGCTGTTACATCGTTCTTCTGCTGTTACATCGTTCTTCTGAGCACGAGCTGATGTTCGGGCTAGTTGATTCTCAATTATTTCTACACTAACGTTTCTAAATTTACTGGTTAAAGATTTAAGGCTGTGGTTCAGGTATCATTGGCGTAGTATCAAAATCGACTGTCCTGCTGTTTGAAAACTTAGATGTATGTACATTGTACCTAACATAACTCATTTCCGAATCCCGAAAAACTTCCATTCATCCTAAATGTCATTTTTATTTAAAAAAAGAAGCAATTTCGCCCAATGCTCAATTTAATTTCTAGTAATACACAGTATACACTTCCTTTAATAGGTTTTGGGTATGTTGATTTTAGGTGATGCTATTCGAAGTAGATTACAGTACTATTCGTATTTGTACACTGTACAGTTATCGTACCCAATTAGTTTTTTATTTCACAACCTATGACTGATATAAAAATCGGTAACTTCATATTCATATTCGAACACTAGACAGTTAAAAACTTCTCCTTGTACTTTTCTAACAACTCCTGCAAGAGACTACCTTGCTTCTTCTTACTTGGCAGCGCTCAGCCTATCACTCTGCCTTATATCTTCGATCGGGCTAAGTGTGTACTGTGTATGACCACTAAAGTCTGGGGTCCCTAGATAAGCTACTTCCCTGTTTATCTGGTTTTATGATCTCGATCGAGTACAGCTGAAGTTGAGCATATTACTGCATGCAATTAACGATTACAATATAGTCTCAACTCTCAATGTAGGTATTTACAGTAACATTTCGGTGAATGTATTGATTGTACTCGTGTGAATTAACTTTACTGCGTAGTTGGTAGTGGGGCAATACGTCTGTTGAGTAACAACAACAGGATGCAATGTAATAGCAGTATGGAGTAAAATACGGAACTAAATAGTGAAAAGTAGAAAAAATAAATAACGAAGATAGTACGAATATTCCTTATGTCTTGTGTTACATTTCGATAGTAAGTTTGGTGATGCTATGAAGACTTTCCTTGTATTAGCATTACTCTTTGTGTCTGTTAGAAGCTGTGAGGAGGCAATATGCGAGTTCGTATATAATAACCCTGATTGGGAGGATCATTCCAGCAAAGAAGATACTTCCTTTGAAATTACAGTGGAGCAGGGCAAGGTCACTGGTATTGTCACTGCCAGTTTTGATATAATATCACCAACATGTGAATATAAACAAAAAAGCCATCAAATTCATGATTTCTTGAGGTTTTACACTCGTGGGTATGGAGAATCATTCCAATCACTGATATTCAAGATACGTTACAGCACGGACACCTATTTCGATATTAATGGGAAGAATCAATATGATCAGATAGTTGGAGATACAGATAGAACTATAGCAGGGAAAGCAACTAATATTCAGATATCAGACCGGGACTCTGATTACTACAAGATCTATCTCGGAGACCCTGGTGATGCTACAAGTTTAGACTACAACTTTGAATCAGAGGTCAATTGGAACTGGTTTCAGAATATCAATAACGAGGTGCGCCTACGAGATACAGTGAGGATAAAAAATGGCGGAAGATGTACAGTGTTTAAATACATATCAGCCTGCTCCGATCCTACACCAAGACTCTGTGACGAAGAAGAAGCTATAACACAAACTGTGAACCTCGGCTCCCCCTACACTCTCACCTGTGCTGGCTCTGGAGCTCCTTATCTTGATGTCAAGTGGATTAAAGACGGTAAACCTACTGTTATACTGCCAACTAATACCTACACCTCTATAGAGGCGGATCACAGGATAGAATCGGCTGTCACTATAGGTAGGGTCACTACTGATCATCTCGGAACTTGGACCTGCACAATCCTCAACAAGAACTTCATGAACAGTGTAACTAAGACATACACGTTACAGTACACTCACTCTGTATCGCTCATAAGCACCCCACCTTTAGATTACTACACAGAAAATAGTGACGACACTGCATTTAAGTGGGTTGTACAAGGCTGGCCACTAGAACAAGTTGCACTAGATTGTGGAGGTAAAGGCGCGGTAACAAAAGATGAGAGTGGATATGCCTCCTCCACTCCTCCTCAGGTCATATTAACACTAACTCTGAGTAACCAGGATGAGGTGAGCTGTACTCTGAAGAATGGAGATAACGACCTGGATATTCGTCAGATCACTAGAGTTGGATATACGTGTGAGGCTGGAGAGGGTGGAGTTGGTAAAGACTGTGAGGAGTGTCCAGCAGGACAAACAAGTAGAGCTGGAGTTGGAAAGTGCTCCTCTCCTGATAGCGCTTGTTCAGAGGGATACTGGGGATATAATGGAGTGAGCTGTCAGCAGTGTCCGGACAACCAAACCAGTCGGCCTAAAACTGTGAAAATACAGGAGTGCTTTCTTGATGTAAGTTATTGTCTGGAAGGCCAATATGGATATGAAAACAAATGCAGTGAATGTCCAGTAGGAAAGACAAGCTATGCAAAAACGAAGAAGGAGGCTGAATGCTTTCCTGATGTAAGTTACTGCACTGAAGGACAATATGGATATGAAAGCGAATGCAGTGAATGTCCAGGAGGAAAGACAAGTTATGCAAAAACAAAGAAAGAGGCTGGATGCTTTCCTGATGTAAGTTCTTGCACTGAAGGACAATATGGATATGAAAGCGAATGCAGTGAATGTCCAGGAGGAAAGACAAGCTACGCAAAAACAAAGAAGGAGGCTGAATGCTTTCCTGATGTAAGTTCTTGCACTGAAGGACAATATGGATATGAAAGCGAATGCAGTGAATGTCCAGGAGGAAAGACAAGCTATGCAAAAACAAAGAAAGAAGCTGAATGCTTTCCTGATGTAAGTTCTTGCACTGAAGGACAATATGGATATGAAAGCGAATGCAGTGAATGTCCAGGAGGAAAGACAAGCTATGCAAAAACAAAGAAAGAGGCTGAATGCTTCCCTGATGTAAGTTACTGCGCTGAAGGACAATATGGTTATGAAAGCGAATGCAGTGAATGTCCAGTGGGAAAAACAAGTAAAGCATTTGCAAAACAAGCTCATGAGTGTGTAGAACCACAAGCAAATATCGCTGTACCTGTAGGAACATGTGCTGGAGGGTTGGTCTTCATCCTGGCTATTCTTCTAGTGATTATTTTAGTTATCCGGAAGAGAAGACGGAATAGGCGAGATGTTTTAGTATCAAGAACCGAGCCCTCTACAGGATCTGAAGTTGATGCTCCAAGACCCCTTCATGTGACAG